GATGACCTGCTGGATGCTCGTCAACTGGAAGTTGCGCGCCTCGTCGCTCGCGCAGAGCGGCTCGAGCTTGTCCAGCGAAACGAAAGTGAAGCGGCGCTTCATCTCATCGACGATGCCGGGGCCGCCCACCTTGAGCACCTGAATGATGCCGACGCAAAAGTTCACCGTCAACAAATCGCACTCCATGCACGGGGGAAGGGTCAGAGCGGCAGGAGGATCAGCGAGCAGGAATTGTCGGGTCTCGCCAACGTCCTTGATGAACTGCTCGTCGTTCCCCTTCTTAACCCACAGCTTGTAGACCTTAACCATGGAGACCAGGCCGTTCAGCTGCTTCTTCATCGCGACGAACTTGTCGGCCAAATGAGCCAGCCCGGGGGCTTTCTTCTCGATGGCCGCGACGAGGTTGGTCATATTCTTGTAGAAAGCCTTATCCTTATCGTGGATGATCACGCGCTTCTCGCACCGCGAGAAAGCCTGGACCTCCCTCTCGCCCTTCGCCAGGGTCTGCCGGGCTTCCCTGGCTGGCTCGGCCCCGCCCCCGCGCGCGCCGCCGCCGCCTGCCAAACCCTCGGAAACCAACGAATGAATCGTCTTGCTGAGCTACGCTGGCCCTGGGGGCCGCGAGAGCCCTGGGCCCCCGGGCCCCCGCGTGGACCTCGAGGGGCCCGGGGCGGGCCCCGAACAGACCCCGGGGGGCCGGGCCGGGCTGAGGCGCGCGGAAGCGCGGGAGGGATATGAGGGGCACAAGGAATATGATGGACAAGAGGGACGCGAGGGAAGAGGGATCGGAGGGGTGACACGGATTGGAGGATCAAGAGGGATAAGGGAGATCGGAGGAATATGAAGGAGAGGGATTGGGCGCCTCCTTCACCTCCTCCCCCTCCTCCTCCTCCTCCTCCTCCTCCTCCTCCTCCTCCTCATCATCATCATCCTCGCCCTCCCTCCGCGACCCCTGGAAGCGGCCCTGGGAACCCGAGATGACTCCCGCGACGACCCAGTCTTTCGAGCCCAGCCGCGGCGACGAGGAAGGAGCCGAAGCGCCGCCCGAAGCCCCAGGAGGGGCCCCATCGGGCCCCCGGGGGCCCCCGAGAGGACCCGCACTGGAGGGGGCACTGGCCGCGTCGGCGCGCGTGGGGGCCGAGCTCGCTCGCCCAGGGCGCCTCTCCAACTTGGCCTGGTCCGCGCTGCCCGCAGGGCCACCCGCGGCGGCAGCGCCAGTGCGAGCCCGCTTCGAGGCCGCGCCGCCGCCCTTCAACGGCGGCGGCATCGCGCTCGACGAGCGGCTCGCTGGGGCGACCGCGGCCGCGCGGGCGCCGCCGCCAGGCTGCGCCTGCCCTGCGCGCCCCGACGAGGTGCTGCCCTAGAGACCTGGCCCGCCGCTGCCCTGGGCCCCCGCCGCGGGCCCGCGGGCGGCTGCGCCGCTGCTGCGAGGCGCGGCGCCCCCGAGGAGGCCGAGCAACATGTCGCCGCCGTCGTCGTCCTCGCGCGCGTCGTCCTCGGAGTCCGAGTCCACCGCAAGCTGCGACTCGGGCGCCCCTCCACTGGCAGGGGCCTCGGGCGACGCCGACGACGCAGCTCCGTCCTGCGGCGCAGCGGGATTTCCAAACCTCCCCTGGCCTCCTCCTCATGCGCCTCCTCCTCCTCCCCCCCTCCTCCTCCTCCTCCTCCTCCTCCTCCCTCCTCCCCTCTCCTCCTCCCTCCTCCCTCTCCTCCTCCTCCTCCCTCCTCCTCCTCCTCCTCTCCTCCTCCTCCCCCACCCCCCTTTTCCTCCTCCTCCTCCTCCTCCTGCTGCTGCTCCTCCTCCTCCTCCTCCTCCCTGCTGCTGCTGCTGCTGCTGCTGCTGCTGCTACTGCTGCTGCCCCCCTCCTCCTCCTCCTCCTCCTCCTCCTCCTCCTCCTCCTCCGCCGCCTCCTCCCTCCCCCCACTTCTCCTCCCCCTCCTCCTCCTCCTCCTCCTCCTCCTCCTCCTCCTCCTCCCTCACCTCCTCCTCCAACTCCGCCTCGTGACAGAGGGGCCGCGCCGCATGCTCGCGTGCTCGCATGCTCGCATACTACCTTATGCCCATCCTCCTCTTCCCCCGCCTCCTCCGCCTCCTCCTCCTCCTCATCATCATCATCATCCGCCTCCTCCTCCTCCTCCCCATCCCTCCTCCTCCTCCTCCTCCTCCTCCTCCTCCTCCTCCTCCTCCCCCTCCTCCTCCTCCTCCTCCCTCCTCCCCCCCCCCCCCCCCCCCTCCTCCTCCTCCTCCACCTCCACTTCGGGGCGCGGAGGGGTTCATGGGGCTCTCTTGGGCCCTCGTAGGGGCACCTCGGGGGCATCCGAGAGCCATCTCGGGCCCCCCATGGGGCCACCGAGGAGCGCCCAACAAACGTTCCAAAACAAGTGCTTCGAAACGATGGGTTCTGGACCTTTTTTTTTGCTCGCTTTGGGGCCGTTCCTGGAGTCTCTCGGGGCTCGCCTGGGCCATCTCAGGGGTCTATCAGGGGCCTCTCGGAGCTATCTCGGGGCTCTCATGGGGCCCTCGGGGGCGCCCAACATAAGTTCCAACGCAATTGGTTCGACGCGGTGTGTTCTGGTCTGTTCGCGTCTGGGCCGCCCCTGGAGCCTCTAGGGGCTCTCTTGGCCCCTCTTTGGGCCCCCCATCCAAGCCATGTAGGGCTCTGGGCGAAGGGCGGATCAGGCCCGGGAGCGCCCTAGGAGGAGGGGGGGGAAGATGGCATTGAAAGTTCGTTCATAACCGTGGGTCTCGGCAAGGCCAAGTCGTAGGCATTGCTTTTTCATTGCGTTCTGTTCCCGCCCCCCCCCCAAAAAAAAAAAAAATGTATATATATATATATATATATATATATATATAACAATCGACCCAGATATGGAGGGGGGGGAGGAGCAGGAGGATGATGAGGACGGGGAGGAGGAGGGCCCTTGCCCTTCTGCGGCGTCTCGGGCAACGCGACAGCGGCCATCCGCTGGCCGCTGAACTGGCTGAGCGCGCCCTTCTGGAGCGACGCGAACAGGTTCTTCTGCTGGTCAGGGTCCTGCGTCAACGTGCCGTCGTCGAGCATGCGCTTCTTCTCGACTTCGGCCTTCATCTTCCACGCGCACTTCATCTCGTCCTCCGCAGTTTCAGGCATCAGCACAACGTCCCTGATGGTGCCATCGCGCCACTCTGTCTTCGTCACAGTGCGGCCGAGGCCGTTGGTGGCAGGATCGCCATAGAGCGGGATGTACGTTGTCAGCAGCTTCATGGTCCCCCTGTCCTCCTTCTCCACCGAGATCGACTGCGACTGCGCCACGGTCTCGACGGGCGCGCCGTCCCAGCCGGACAGGTCCCTCACGGCCTTGGCACCAGCCTTGTACTGGGCGATAAGCCATGTGCGGAAAGAGAAGAACTTGTCGCGCGTCGCCTTGTCCCCGGCCACATCAGCGGACACGTCAGTGCAGCTCTTGTTCGGCCAGAGTCGGTTCTTGGTGACAAGGCAGCACGCGCAAATCTTGCCGCCCCAGTTGGGCTTGCCCCAAGAAATCGTCGAGTCGGGGTCCAGCTCGTCGGGGCTCGAGGGGTCCTTCTTGCAGAACTTGCACTTCTTCTTGGCGAGGTCCACGTTCAGGGAAGCGAAGTAAGCGGCGGCCGTGGCCGAGAGCACGCCAACGAAGCCGCATCCCGCCTTCGACGCGTACTGGCGGCCAGAGACCCCATTGGCGCCATCGTCGTCATTGCCGACGCGGCGTCGCTTGCACCCGAGGCGCCCAACCGCCAAACCTTCGTCGTCGCCGCCATACTCGGAACACTCAGTCGGCGCCGACCTTGCCGGAACTCCCAAGCAATCCAACAAGCCGCCCCCGAAGCCGGCGTCGTCGAGGGCCATGGCCGTGAGCGGCGGGGGCCAGGAAGACTTCGGGTGGCCGCGAGAGAGGCGGCTGGAATGCGTCCGACAGCGAGGACAACTAGGCCCGAAACAGCTACCGATCGTTTCGAAATCCGCTCAAAATAAAGCCTGGGCCCCTCCTGGGGCCCATGCGCTCAAAATCCCCGAATGGCATTGAAGATATCCTCTCGAAGCTGCTCCCCAGACCTCTCCCAGGGCACCGCAAGGCGGCAATCGGGCCCCATTCAAGGGTTCAGGGGGCAGTTAGCCAAGTCCAGAAATTCTCTAACCTCGGCCGTCGAGGTGCGCGGCTCAAACCTCGACGCGAAGCGTGAACCCCGTTCCTAAGCCACCTAACTTCGCGCTTCGCGCCCGGCGATGCGCGACGCGCGGTCATCTTCGCGCCCTCGCGAGGCCACCCTGGAGATGGGCAGGTCCACGGCCCAGGCCGCGACGCGCGAAGAACGGCTAGAGCGAATGTCTTCGAGCCCCTAGGGGTGACGTGGCTGGCGTTCGGCCCCGTCTTGGGGGCCACCCTTTCAGGGGGCCTCGCTGGCACCAGGACGAGGGAGAGAGGATGGTGGATCGGGAAGCAGGGTGGTGGATGGGGCTTAGAGGGACGCGGGGTCCCCCCCCCCTCGCTGGCGCAGGGAAGAGGGGGGAAGGAGGGTGGAGGGAGGAGGGGTGGAGGGTAGAGGGAGGAGGGTGGAGGGAGGGTGGATGGGGGGGCGGGGGGAGGGGGACAGGTGAAAAAGGGCGCTAGAGGGCGGATGGCAGAGGGGCGACCCGGCCCACTCGGGGCAGAGGGGGAGAGCGACGCAGTTCCTTTCCCAGTGCCTCAGTGCCCTCTCTGAGCGCAGCCTTCCTGAGCGTCGCTTTCAGCCGCCGAGATCTCGAGCGAGGCAGCTGATCCCCTGGGCGCACTAAAGCTGCAACTGCGCTGGGAACCGAAAGTCATCAAACTCATCTCCCCAGCCCCCCATCCTCCACTCGCCCTGAACTCCTCATCCCCCTGGATCTCTTCAGGGAGGGAAGGCAGCCCTGGCTGGCGGCGCCGACAGAAATAATATTTAATGTGAATGAGCCCCGATGTCCTCGCCCGGGCCAACTTAGAACTTAGAACCAGGCCCTCGCTCAGAACAAGGCCCGCTCGTAGACAGTCAGCATCCCGATGCCGATCGCCATGACGTTGTAGGCGTTGTACGCGTTGCCACCCAAGTTCGTGTAGACGCCCGGCCTGGGGAAGGCGCTGGCAAGCATGGTGTTGCTGAACCACGGCATGCCCTGCAGCGCGAAGATCTCGGGCCCTTCGAGCAAGCGCTGGCGCTTGCGGAGCCACAGGAGGGCGTTCGGCGTGATGCAAGGGCAGGAGCCAGTGCACCTTGGGATGCGGTTGATGCTCTGGTTCACGTCAATGATCTCCTCGGGCTCCCCCTCCCTGATGGGCTCCAGAGTCAGGTCCATGAAAACCACGCGCTCCTGGGAACGTTTGGGCATGAACCCGAGGTTCTTGACCGTCCGCTCCCCGTAGAGGCAATCGATCACTGGCGGGTACGTGAGGTTCCGCGCGCGGAAGGCCTCGCGGTGCTTCTCTGGCCAACTCGGCGCCTTCGCCTTGCCCTGAGCGGGCGCCCTCTCTGAGATCGAGATGCCCGCGCGACGCCCCTGGAACAACGCGAGTTCAGCGCTGCCCTCCTCCAGCAGGAACTTGTCGATATCCATCGGGTTCGCCATGACCGAGTAGATGATGCGTTTGCAGTTCGTCAGCATCGGGCCAGCGTCAGTCTGATCCTGCTTGGTGAGGGGGGTCAACTTCATCAGGAAGCCGAGGATCCACTGCCTGGGGGGCCGGCGGAGAGAGGGCCGAGGGCGCCCTGGGGCGACAAGAAGCGCCGCGAGGAGGAGCGGGAGGGAGACGCCGACGACCACGGAGATCAGGAGGAAAGGAGAGGCGAGACGAACAGGAGGCGGAAGCCGAGAGAAGTAGGATTCCTGGGGCCCGAGGGGGAGGGGGTCAGCCTACTTTTGCCCCCAACGCATTCAAGTTAAAGTTAGATTCTTCTTGCTGCACCAAAGCGAGCCACGACCGCGAATAATCGCGGGAAGACAATGGCCACAAAATGGCGTCGCAGGGGGCTCGCTTCAGCATAGACCAGCGGTAGGATATATATATATATATATATATATAGAGAGAGAGAGAGAGAAAGAGAGAAAGAGAGAGAGAGAGAGAGAGAGAGAGAGAGAGAGAGAGAGAGAGCGCCTGTTGCGACGCTGGGGCACCCCGCGGTCCCTGGCGTCGAGCCGCAGCGTCAGCACCGCGCAGCCCAAGTTGTGCAGCGCGATGACGATCTCGTCCAGGTTGTTGTCGGTGCCGTCGTCGCTCTTGTTGTCGATGGCGGTCACGTTCTCCAAGGTGAGCAGCGCTGGCCTGAACCTCGCGATATAGGCGAGGGAGTCCTTGAAGGTCTGCCCCGTCTTCTTGTCGCCCTTGCGGATGGTGACGCACGCGTCGGCGCTGTTGATGTTGCACAGGCTGACGCTCTGGCAGCAGAACCCAATCAGCACCCAACTGACGCCCGGGACTGGCTTCTGCTGGCTGGATATGATGTCGAACGCCTTCCCGTGCCTGAGGTCACCCGCGTCAGCGAACAGACACATGGTGGTCGGATCGTGCATGACCTGGAGGAACGCCTGGGCGACCTTCTTCTTCTCGCAAGCGAAGCGGCTGGTGGCCGTGGCCCGCTGCTCCAGGCAGAGACTCGCGGACTCCGAGGCCGCGCTGAGGATCGCGTCGATGGCGTACTTGCAAAGGTCGGTGCCGCTGCAGATTGTCCCAACGCTGATGTTCGGCTGCTGGGTCAAGGTCTTCTTCAGCTTGGCCAAGTCATCTGGAGTGAATCGACCGATCATCTGCGCCGCTGCTTGATCCAAGTCGTGTTTCTCGAACGTGAGGCGGTCGGACGGGGGCGGCGGGTGGACGTCGTGCACGTGCGTGGGCGGGGCTGCGCGCCCTGGCCCTGGGAGGCCTGCGTCGCCGCCAGCAGCCGCAGCGCTGGCGCTGGCGCCGTCCTGGGGGGCGCGAACGAAAGGGGGGGGGGGGGGGGGGAATGGGGGGATGTGGAAGGGAGGGTCGGAAGGGAGGGGAAGGAGGGAGGGGGGTGCGAGGGGGGGGAGGAGGGGAGGGGTGGGGGACGGGAGGGCCGGGATGGGGAGGGAAGAGGGGGGGAGGGGGGAGGGAGGGGTGGGGGTGGGTGATGGGGTGGAGTGGTGGGGAAGGGGGAGGGGAGGGGGGGAGGGGGTATGGAGGGAGGGATCGGGGGGGGGGGGGGGGGAGGTAAAACGCGAAAAAACGCTCTTGCTCACTAAGCCCTTTCAGTGCCAAAAAACCTGTTAGTGACAAGTGCTTTTTTTTTTTTCAGCTTGTTTGTTTGAGTACGGAAGGGCAGACTACAACTGTATCTGATCGTCTGCGTATGAGAGCTCTCGGGGATACTATTGAACACGGAGTGCGAACAGAGTGCAATGGCTGGGCCGCTAGGGGGGATGAAGGGGGCAGGAGGGAAATGGGGTGGGGTGAGGAGAGGAGAAGGGGAGCGGGTTCACAAGTGCCCTAGCCAGCCCCCGCGGCACCTGCGTGGCGTGAGTTGGATTCCGCCGCCGCTCTAAGGAGCCGCCCCCCCCCCCCCCCCCCCCCCCTCTATTTGGCATCCTCTGGGGGGAGGGGGGGGGGGCGGTGAAAGGGGTGCGAAGGGGGAGGGGGGAGGAGGAGGAGGCAGGGGGGGAAAGAATGAGGAAGGGGAGAGGAGAGCGGAGGAGGAGATGGGGGGAGGGGACGCCCCCCTCGGCAATCCTGAGCCCCCTCTGGCGCCCTCCTCGGCACGGCGAAAAAGAGGCTCGCTTCCAAAAACGGCCCACGGGCCCCTCTCAACTAATGCAGCAACTCCTCCTCCGCCTCCAGTCTTGGGCGATGTGCTTCTGGCATCCTCCCCCCCACACCTCTCCCCCCCCCCCCCCCCTACGTACTCCCCCTTACTCCCTCCTTGCCCCCTCCTTGCCCCCCCCTTACCTCCTCCCTTACCCCCTATCCAAATCGCCGGTTTACTCCTTCCTAATCATCCAAAACCATCCAAATCGCCGGATTACTCCTTCCTAATAATCCAATACCATCCAAATCGCCGGATTACCCCCTCCAGATCGCCGGGATCAAGGCGTAAGGGGAGGGGGGGGGGGGGGTCTAGGAGTAAGGGGGGGAGCCTGTGAGGGGTAAGGGGGTCATGGGCGGGGGTGAGGGGGTCACCAGCGCTGCACTTGGGGCCTGGCACTGGACCCAGGGACCTACTTGGGTAACTTTGGAGGTGGACTTGGACGACATCTGGGCGACCAATGGCTCGGTAGGCGCCGCAGTCCTGCCAGGTGGGCGCGGCGTGGCCCAGCAGCAGCATGTCCTGCAAGTCCACGCCCATGCTGAAGCCCTCGGGCGGCTTGAACTCGAACTGCATGCACACCGAGCCCCCTGGCAACGCCTCGACCCCGACGCGAACCTCGGCACGCGGAGGCCCAGCCGCCTCGTCCGCGGGCTGGGCGGAGGCTGGCCTCTTCCGAGTCTGGGTGCCCGCCACCGCCTTCTTGCCCTTCGTGACCTTCATGGGCGCGGCGCGCGGCGTTGCCCCCTGCTTCGCGGTCTTCCCCTGCCTCGCGGTCTTCCCCTGCTTCACGGTCTTCCCCTGCTTCGCGGCCTTCACCTGCTTCACGTCCGTCACGGACGCGGCCTCGCCCATGTCGCCCTGGTCCTGCACGGCGCTCACGAGGCCCCCGCCGCGGCCCCTGCCGCCCCGGCGGCCGCGGCCGCCCCGGGCAGCGACGCGACCTGCGAAAGGCCCGACCTGCCTCTCGAAGAACGGCTCAACTGGATCGGGGATGGCGGGTTCTTCTGGATCGGGAACGGCGGGCTTCTTCGACGGCTTCGCGCACTGGAAGATGAGGGCCTGCTTGGGCTCAGACGTGATCTCGTCGGCCGCGGGACGACGGCGCCTGGGCGGCATGCAGCCCAAAACCTGAAGCCGGGTGCTCGATAAGTCGGAGGCGATGGAGCGCGCTCGCCAACTCTGGCGCTCTGCAAACACCTGAACAAAAAACGGCAAAGAAGCGTCGTCGTCGTCATCGTCGTCATCGTCGTCGTCGTCCCCGCCGTGACTGCCGTCAGCTCGCCTGAGCCCGACTGGCCGACACAGCGGAATCGCCGTCGTCGTCGTCGTCGCCGTCGCCCCCCTCAGGGGGACAACGACGATGACGACCGCGACGACGACGACGACGACGACGACGATGACGACGACGAGGGGGGCCCCCTCCTCCTCCTCGCCCCCCCGCTGCGATGCCGAGGGGGTGTCAGGGTTTTCCCCCGCAGCGATGCGGCCGCGACTCGCAACCGACTCAATTCGAGAAACCGTGTGCAAACGGGGCGCCCTATCCGCCCTATCTGCTAAGCTCACCCACTCTACCCTGCTCTACTCGCGTCACTCACGTCTGCTTCTTAAGCTTCTGGAGCCACTTGAAAGCTGGGTGCAGGAGGCCTCTATTACGAACCCTCTGACGCGGTCGGGGCGCACGCGGAGGGCCGACCCCCTCGGCCTGGGGATACGCTATATCAGCCGAGGCTGATTCGCTCTTCCTGGAGCCCCCTGGGCCGAGGGGGTCGGCCCTACGCGTTCGCGCCGGCCGCCATTCCTAACGGCGCCGACGGCCCTGTGCTTCGGAGGGCTCATGTCACTCAGCAAGTCGCCCTCGAAAAGGTCGGCCCACTTGGCGCTGCTATCGCCGCCGCCACCCCCGTTGTGATCGCCGTCCGAGCCCCCCTCGTCCTCGATAGCGATGATCTCCCTCCTTAGAAACTCACGGGCCAAAGCGTGCATCCCTCTCTGCTCGAGGCGCGTCGCCGGGCACGACTGCCATGGCGGCGTGGCCCCGTCTGGCCCAGGGGGGGGCGGACCTCGACCCGAGAAGGCTGCCGCCGCCGCCCTCCCACCGAGGGGACTCCCACCCGTTCCTCGCCCCCCCTTCCCCCGCAGGCCCTGGGCCCAGACCTCGACTACCCCGACGCGATCGCCCAGGGCAACCCCAGGCCCCCGACCCCTGGCCCTGGGTCGAGCTGGCCATGAGATAGGCCATCTAGGACTACAGAGTGGATAATCAACATGATGATGATCGGTAAGGACGCAAGCCCCCTGGACGCCCGCGTTGACGTCTCTCGAGCAAGACCGGCCATCTCGTTCAAGGGCGGGTCGCGGGAGCCCGCGCAAGCATGGATGCACGGGTGCCCCAGGGCGGGCCGCTCGCCCCTGCAAGCCCGCCCGAACGCATGCGGAGGAGGGGGGAAAGGGGGGGGGAGGAAGGGGGGGGAAGAACAAGCAAGGGATGGAGTGCGGCGGAGCGGCGCAACGATCTGGGCGCGCCGTCCACGGGCGACCTCGCCCCCCCCGCCCGCTCGTCGGGGTCGCGGGCGACGGGCGCCGCCGGCGACGCAGCAGCAGCAGGCGGCAGGCGCCAGCTGGAAGCTGGCGAATCAGTAGCACACGTGCTGGGGCCCCTCCGACTCACCATCCTCCCGCTCACGTTCGTGGGCGAAGACGTCGGGGATGTTATCCTTGGCCCACTGCCGGCACGAGTTGCGCTCGGCGTAGCTGATGTCAGCGTTGTCCCGCTGCTCTCGCCTCGCCAGCGCCTGGTGCCCTGCCTGGTCGTAGCCGTGGCCGGCGAAGAGCCACGCCAACAGGAAGCCGACTGGTCGGCCCGAGAACTTCTGGGCTGACCCAGCGCACGAGCGGCCGGTGCGGCACAAGCCATGGGGGCACGCCGCGTTCACGCAATGCGCGGCCATCTTCTTGCGGCCGTGGGCGTAGTACAGGTAGCCGCAGCCGGGGACGTCGTACCTCGAGTACTGCTCCTGATCGCCACCCTTCTTGCGAGCGCCCCAGCCCTGGTGGATGCGCGGCATGGCGCCGTCCAAACCTGGGGCGGGGGGGGCGATGACAAGGGGCTGGCGGGCGACCCCCAGGCCCTGCATCCCCTCGTTTGGTTTAAAGAAACCTGCGCTCTAGATTCGCCACTTGGCGAGGACATGATGAGGGGGAGGAGGGCACCGCCGCGGCGCCCTCCTCCCCCTCATCATCTCCTCGCCCTCTTCGAATCCTCTTCGATATCCTTCTCCTCCCATCCCCCTCCCTCTTTCGATTGGTGGCGCTGCACCTGGGGGCTCCGCGGCAGCGGCGCGCCGCTTCTGGCCCCTGCGACCCCCAGGCTGCCCTGCAGCATCCAGCGGCTGGGGCGGCTGGGGCGGCGGGGGCACCTCCATCGGGTCATCCTCCTGCAGCCCGTCGGTCTTGCCCCCCTCGTCGGTGCCGCTGCCGCCCGAATCAATGTGCGTCACCTTTGCCTTCGCCCTCTTGCACCTCCGCGACTCTGCCGTCTGCGCACTCGGCTGGTCAGGCTGACGGCGAGCCGAGGGGCGCGAGGACGACGAGGCTCTGGTCCATGCCGCGGAAGGGCGCCTCGCGGCGGAGACAAGCACATCGAGCAGATCCCCCGAACCTGACGAACTCGCTGCTCTGGTCGACGACAAAGATGATCCGATTAACGGGGCCTCGCGAACGACAAACTCCCCCTGCAGCATCATGGCCAGCACGCTGGTGTTCGCACACCTGATCTCCTGCACCTTGGCCCCCTGCATGCCGTCGAGCACGACGCAGTCGCGAGCGACGCGGTAGCAAGTCGAGAAGTTGAACTCGAGGCTGCCGCGCCCCCTGGCCTCGGGCGGCTCCGCAACGTCCACCTGGATGACCCCCTGGAGGCACGCGCGGCGGCTGCAGCGAGCGAACACAGCAAGCGGAGGGCCCCGCTGGCGCATCGCCCCGATGCACAGCCACATCTCGACAGGTCGTGCGTCCGACGATGCCGCCTGCTCAACATCCCCGCCAATGATGCGAATCAGCTGGCCGCTGGACATGCCCTTCACGAAGGCCCGGAGCCCCGACGCCGCGGCGAGCGCCTGCGCGTAGACCTGCAGCGCGGGAAGAAAGGGTGGGCACGGGGGCACGCAGGGCGGGGGATGAGGAGGGGAGAGGAGGAGGAGGAGGAGGAGGAGGAGGAGGAGGAGGAGGGGCACGGGGGCAGAGGGGGAGGATGAGGAGGAGGATGAGGAGGAGGAGGAGGAGAGAGAGGAGGGGCATGAGGAGGAGGATGAGGAGGAGGAGGAGGGAGAAGATGAGGTACGAGGCGAGGGCGAGGAGCGAGGAGGGGGAGGAATAAGAACATGAAATGGGAGAGGGAGGGAAGACCTCCTTGTCCCTCGTCTGGCACAGGCCAGGGTGGAGCCTGAAGCACTGGTCGCGCACCGCGACGGGGCCCATCGGGACGGGGGTGGCGTTCTCGTCGGCGGGGCCCTCGACCAGCAACGTCTCGCGCAACTCGGGGCGAATCTTCTTGGCGCACTGCGTGACCCCTGGCACTCGGGCGGGGGCCCCCCCGCTGCTCGCGCCCGAGACGGCGCGCAGGTGCTGCTCGAACCTCGCCTCGGCAAGTGGCCACGTCTCATCGCCGACATCCAACGGCCACACCTGGCGCGCCCTGTCGCCCACTGCGATCTCGAACTCTGGGGGCTCGACGCTGCCAGTCAAGATGTCGAGCAAATCGAGGGCGCCACCGCGCAGCTCAGCCGCCGCGCCGCCCGCGGTCTCGTCGACGGGCTCCTGGGCCGCGGGCAAGGCTGCGTGCGCGGCCAAGTAGGTGTCCACCTGCTCCTGGGTCATCTCATCCATCTGACGGCCCCACTCCTCTCTCGCTCTCTTCTCCTGGTCATTCGTCCACGGTGCTCCCGCCCGGGCCAACTTTGCCAACCTTGATTTGGTATTCAAGAAGGTTTCGCGTTGGCGCGGCTGCCGCCGCTTCCTCGGCTTCCGCAGTCGGCGGGCGTCCTGGCGGGTTACAAGGCCACCCCGCCTGGCCAAGACCACCTGGTTCTTCTCGAGGCTGAAATCCAGGTGGCCCTGCTCGGTGAACTTAGCCATCATCCTGCGCGCGTGGTTCAGCAGAATGACGCTCTCTGCCCCTGGGCGCGAAGTGGAGCGGCAAATCAGATGCTTCATGATGGCGTGGAGCCGCTCGACGTGCGCGACGCTGGCCTTGCCGTCCTCGGCCCACGCCCGGATCGCCGCGATCACGACCTCACAGCACAACGCCTCCAAGATTGCTTCCTCGCCCAAGCCGCCGTCGGCCTTGGCCCGCGCCCAGTCCAACAGGCGCCCCGAGAAGGACTCGTCCAGGCAGCACGTCGGGGTGCCCATCAACTCGCGCATGGCGCCCTTCACGCACTCGCCGAGGGCGGCGCGGGGGGCAACCCTGAGGAGTTCGAGGGGGTACTCGCCGAACTGGGATTCCACTCGGTAGTGCAGCGACGCAGACAAGGACAACGTGATCTCCCGCAACTCGCCGTACATGTCGCCCAGGCTGGACTCTCGCTCGAGCCCGAAGTGATCTGCCAAGAAGCACGGGCCGTCGCCGAAGAGCATGGCGACGAGGCTGGACTGCACCTGCCGCATCGGCGACATGGACGGCGTCGCGAAGTCCAGGAGGAGCCGTCCTGTGCGAGGCAAGGCGAAGGAACGAGCGAACGACCGACAAGCGAATCGGTGTAGCGCAGAGCCGCATCAGGAGGAGGAGGAGGAAGAGGAGCGCGACGAGGAGGAAGGGAAGGTCGGAGGAGGAGGAGGAGAGGAGGATGAGGAGGGGGATGAGGGCGAGGACGTGGAGGAGGAGGAGGAGGAGGAGGAGGGGGGGAGGTGGGGAAGGAAGGGGAGGAGGAAGAGGACGACGATGAGGAGCATCACGGGGGGGGGGGGGGGGGGGGGGGCGAGCTGCGCGAGGAGGGTGCAAAGGCATGGGAGATGGAGAGGGAGAGAACAGCAATGAGGAGGGAGGAAGAGCAAAACGGAGAGAGAGAGAGAGAGAGAGAGAGAGAGAGAGAGAGAGAGAGAAAGAAAGAGAGAGATAGAGAGAAGAGAGAGAGAGAGAGAGAGAGAGAGAGAGAGAGAGAGAGAGAGAGAGAGAGAGAGAAAAGAAGAGATCGGACAAGTAGGCGGACCAGGGTCCGTCCGCGAGGCGCACTGCGGTGCGACAACTCGCAAGCACTATTTGCGGCGGTGCAGCCTTAAGATACGAGGGCGGGCTACAAAACCCCCTCCCCCGGCGCAGTGCGACTGACGCTACAGACGGCGGACAGACGATGAAGATCTCACCTGACAGACCGCGTGAGGTAAAAGGCCCCAACAAGAAAGGCGACGTGCTGGCACGTGGCTAGGCGGCTTGGCGGACCGCCAGTTGGGCGCTTGGCCGCTAAGCGGCGCGCAGTGACGGGGCACCCCCCGCCCCCACGCCCTGACACCGTGGACGCGGAGCCACACGTACACACGGGCAGGCAGAAAGGAGGAATTAGCGCGGGGCACCAGGTGGAGCGCCGCGGAACGATGACAACATAGCTTGGATGTTGAGTGACGGCACGACACCATCGGGCGAGGTCGTGAGCAGCTCGGCGAAGGCTCGCCCAGCGCTGTGGAGGCGCTGGAGTAGAGGACCTTGACGAGCTTGGGCAGCGGCGAGGTCCGCGGCGAGAGCTAAGCACCTCTGCTGAAGGGCAGCCATAGCCTGTGACAGCTCGGTTTCACGGTCGGTGAGAGGTGGCTGCTCAGTGACATCCGCCGAGGATCTCGAGACAGGGGCGAGGTCCTCGGTACGCCTGTCCAGGTGGGCTAGCGGCGTGCGGGACCCTGAACGCTGACGTCCGTCACCCTTAAAAGGTGACTGGAGGGGCCGGCGCGACCCCAGGGCTGGAGCCGCTAGGGCCGCGCCCCGAGAGGTCAGGGGAGCCGCTTCCTCTCGCTCAGCAACGGAGGAAGCGTGGGTGGGGCACGAGGGCCTGTCTGGTTTAGTACCCTGCGGGGGGGCTGAAGCCGCCCCCGCGGGTCGCTGACGATGGGGAGGCGGAGTGGTATGCGCGGTGGGACCAGTCGTGATGCCGTGCAAGGCCGCTGAGGTCGGTCGCGTAGAGGGTTGGTGACTCGGTGGGGCGGCATGGTCGGCAGCGTGTGGTGTCGGCGGTGCGTCCTCAATGCCACCCAATCCTCGGGGGGCACTCGGGTCGTGGTCGGCGTCCTGGCGGTGACCGATATCATCGTATGTGGGCGTTAACGCTCTTGGGGACGGCGTCGCAGTAGGGTTTGCGAGGTTTCCCGACGGGGCGGGGTTTTCGTTGGCTGGTCCGTCGTCCAAAGCGTCCGATCCCCCACCGAGGCTGAAAAGGTCATCGTCCTGCTCATCAGCGTCTTGAAAAGGAACGGCGTTGTCATGTGGGTGGGCTGACGCACTCAATGGCGGAGTCGGGGGCGCCGTGCGGGTGCCCGCCGGGGCAGGGTTGGCGCTGGCTGACTCGTCGCCCAGGGAGTCCAAACCTCCACCAAAGCCGAACGGGTCGTCCTCCTGTTCGTCGAATAACCCCCGTTGGGCCTCGGCCCAGAGCTCGTCGGGGTTTTGTGGGATGTCTGGTCCAGCCGCGGGTGGAGCCTGGTCAGACAGCAGGGGATTTGGTTCCATTTTGTTTAGTTCTGCAGCAGTGAACCCAGCCCTGCGGTGTGGGAGAGGAAGAGTACGATGTCTCCGCTCGTAGATGGCAACGGCGACTCCATGGAGCACGGTCGCTTGGCGGTGTCGTGCTTTGGCAGCTTCAACGATGTCGTCTGGGAGGTTATGAGTACGTGCCGCCGCTGTGGCGAGGGCGTCAGCCTGACGATTGAACTCCTCCGCGATGGGCCCGATGAGCCCGAGGTCGATGCCCGTGTCGCCCTGGTGGCTAGCGACTTTCTCTACGCGGAACATGTTTGGCTTGGCCATGACACATCGGTGGACCTTTTCCCAGAACTCCACGTGCGTGCCCTGCGGAGGTGAGTGTCCGTCGATGATCCTTTGGAAGCCGTCGACCACCGCCTGGTTGTCCACGAAGACGTGTACGGGCTGTTCAGCACATGCCGTGAGGTGGACAATGGCGAGGGTCTCCGCAAGCTGTGCGTTCTGCGTGATGCCGTGAACGCGCGCACTGTAGTTCATGCGGTGGTCGATGCCGTAGTAGACGCCGTAGCCCGCTCTTGCAAGCAAAGGGATGGCTTGGTTGGTGCATGCACCGTCCGTGGCAGCGTAGACCCATGTCCAACCAGTGTCGTGGTCAAGGTAAGTGGTGTAGGAGTCCTGGGCTGAAGCCGCAGGATCTCCCTCAGGCGGGGGCCGCGGTATGGGTTGAGGTAGCGGGTCCCTCGCGAGGTCGGCTTGCAGATCGAGGAGGGCTGGGTCCTCATCGAAGAGCCCGCAATGTCTTGTGTGCGGAGGAAGACGGGCCCACTGCTCGTCACTGATGAGGGTGGTGAGAGGGGCTCTTTCACGGGCCCAGCACTTGCAGTCACGCACAGTGTGCTCCTGAGTTTCCTCTTCCTCATCACAGTAACGGCAAATAGGGCTGGGATCAGCGGACGTATTTGATCGAGAACGTCGCTGTTGGGTGTGGTCCCCGCCCGACAGGTAGTTTAAGAGGAGCGCCAGCTGCCATGCGTTGCATTTGGCAGCTCCTTTGGTGCGGGCGAGCCACGTGCTGGCGAAAAGGTCGAGGCCCTGTCTGACCGAAGCAAGGTGACCAAGGTCATGACGCCGTGGCTTGATTTTTCTGAGAAAGGCTCTGCGTTGCGAGGCGCGCAGCATGTGAAGGAAGGCGTTTTGGGGAAGGTTCAGCCAACTGATCTGAAAGCCCCAGTCGTCGTACATGGTGCCAAATGTGGGCCAAGTCCAACGGAGCTGCTGAAGCGTCTGAACAAGTCGTCCAACAGGTCCTCCGCCAAAAAGGGTCTGGACATGGTGTTGGAGATCCCTGACGAGGCCGCAGAGAGTGGCGTCGCGGTTGACCTGTCGCCGCAGGCACAGGAAGACTTCACGCTGCATAATGGCGTCAATCTCCAGGGCGTGCCCTGGGACGCACACGGCCATGAGAGTCCAAAACTCGACCCACCTGTTTCCCTTGGGGCGGATAGCCGCCTTAAGGGCATGGTTGTAGGCAGTTTTGACGGGGCCTGATGGGGCTTGGATGTCAGTGCCCGTGGTACAGACGCTGGCAGCAAGGGAGCGGGCGTGCCGCGCCTTAATACGCATCGGAGATGGGAGCTTGCCAATACGCGGCAGGCGACTAGTCGCCCTGCGAACACGGGCGTCAGCGGTGGCCGTGAGGTTGAGCGCGGCTGGAGCCGGCGCTGCCTCGGCGTTGATGTAACTTCCGACGAGCTTGAAGGAGTCGACCACGCGTAAGGGCCGTTCCGCCAAGGTGAGCTGGGTAACGGCGGTGTGAAGCTCGTCAGTAAGCGCCCACCCCGCCACTTTTCCAGGATGAATGCGTTGACCAGAAAATCGATCAAACTTGGCGGTTTCATCAAGAGATTTCTGCAACTCGGGCGCGGTGTGGGTAGTGGAGTTGCTGTCGTCAACAAAAGTAGTGCTGAGTGACCGCGGCACGTAACGATGCTGTCTCTTGGTCCAGACGCACATGAGCAGCTTAATGTCGTCCAGGGACCAAGAGCTTCCCTGGAGGTGACCGTTTGTCCTGGCCAGTTCCTTAGAGTACGCACCGTTCATGCGGATGTAACGTTTGTGGCGCCTGTAGAAGTTTCTGCGGACAGTAACGATGTCTTGGGGACACCCCGCGTGAAGCGCGAGGTTAAGGCATATGTCCGTGATGAGATAGTCGAAACACTTCTGACGGTCCAGGGCAGCTCCAGCCAAGGGAAGGAGAAGGGCTCTGGCGTGTTCGATGCGAAGGGCGAGAGAAGTGCTGACGTCCCCAATGGTAGCTTTGGGGACAGCGCCAAAACTCGTGGCGTGGGTCCATCCTTTCCGCCATTCCGTGAGGCTGCGGTAAGCTGGTGCTTCCCACGCGTACATCCAAACGGAAAGCACCGAGAGAAGTCGTTGGTCCGTTGGGAGTTCGCCTCGGCCTTTTCGGAGGCACGGGTTTGGGACGTGGAGGAGGGGTTCTGGGATGGTGCCAGTGCGTTGCATAGCTCGTAGAACGCTGGCGAAGAGGCGAAGAATGTCGTCGGGAAGCTCCTTTGCCTCCTTAGTAGTCCAACCGTCCAGACCCCCCGCGCGTCTCGGTGAACGGGTGCGAATGAAGTGGATGAGTTGGTCGTCGGTGAGGTGGAAAGGGGTAGCTGGTGATGGCGTAGGCAGCTCCTGTCGGTACTCGTCGTAGAAGTCGGCCCACGTCGGCATGGCTTCGGCATCATGTCCCGCACGTGCGCGGTACCTGCCCAAGATGGGCTCCCAGGTGTCGACCATGAGCTTCAGCATGTCCTTGATGTTAGCAACAATGGCGTTGGCAGGGAGGATGTCGGGGACTTGCGCAGGTGGTGGTTCACGGGTGTGGTCTTCGTCGCTGTCCGTGTCGGGCGAACTACCGTCGCCGGGGCTGAAGCCGCCAGCTTCGGTGTCAGCGTCGCTGTCGTCCGTGCATGCTTCGTCAGGT